TACTTAAAACTTTGAAATGTATCTGGAATGTTTTGCACATGCTTAGGCCACATCACTTCCTTCCTTCCTCTCAAAGCTTTTATTTTTAAAATCTCTCTTTCTTTAAAAAAAAAATCTGCAAAAACAATTTTTAAGAACAGCCTTAAAATGTTCACAACAAATACTTTTCCAGCCAGTCAACAAGGCATTCAGTTGATTCCCAATATTTAAAACACACTGTACTATTCAACTAATGTTGATTCATTTCACTCCCTGTTTTTCTTTTGAAACTAAAGCTATTTAAAAATACTTAATTGGCTGGATTAATTGATTAATTCATCAATTAATCAAGCAGACTTTGAATTCATAGTGGTGATGGTTCAGGTAGTTCAAGATCTTATTATATCTTAGGGCACATCTTTTCCTACTGAATTATTTTATACCCTTAAGATTAGACTAAAGAGAGAGCCCTTTAAAAAAAATTGTACAAGCCGCATTATTTCCTATGACACTTTATAGAAACAAAAGTTGGACTTTAAAGAAGCGGTACTGGCACCTTTGAACTTTGCTGTTGGAGGAGACTCCTAAGAACACCACGGACACACGGACACCCAAATAAGCATACTGATGAATCATAGAACAAATCAAACCACAGTTTTCACTCAATGCACAAATGCCCAGGCTCAAATTATCCTCCTTTGGACACAATATGTATGCAAAGACCTAGTCCTCTGGAAAAATGTTAGAAAAGGTGGATGGAAAGAAAAGAAAAGGACAACCAGCAACAAGATGGACAGATTCACTTACAGTAGCAAAGAGGTCACCATTAGAAGACCTGAAGGATAGATTAAGGACAAATTGTCATAAAGAAAAATCTATCTATATGGTGAAAATGACTTGATGGCAGCTATGATAGCATGTAGTTGCAAAATTGTTATCCGCAACACCTTTCAGAAAAACATAATGTGATCCTAAAAAAAACCTGTATCAGCTGCTACACTTTAATAGTTCAAATTCACTATTCCAATAATAATATTTAAGTCATTCCTCCAATATATACCCTTCCCAGGGTGCACTTACTCATGTATTAATATCTGCAAAGGAACTCTATTTGCTGTTTCATAACTGGGAAGATTCTCTTTCAGTAGAGGCCAAGTAGCACTGACATTTTTCTTTTTTCTCTCACATTTAAGACTTAACAATCACAATCTGACAATGAGTTTTCTCTCTTAATTTCTCCCCTATTAATATTCCCTGTTTATCAAGTAAATATATAACTTATTATTTAAATTGTTTTTTTTTATTTCTAAGTTTAGTTTAAACTGCAGTTTTAAACATATTTAAATAAATAAAATATTTATATTTAAATATTTATATTTAAATATGAAAATATTTTAAATAAAAATATTTAAAAAAATATTTATTTAGTTTGATTTGCTTTATCTTATTCATAACAAATTAAATGAAAGAAAAAAAATATTGTTTTCTTATGGATTGTGACCTGTCATGAAATTCTCTGGATAGTTTTGGGCAATAAGTAATAAATCTTGTGTTGTGGAGCTAATTAATGAATAAATGTATGGGATTAAAGGGGTAGATTTAATTATGGATAAAAGAAGCTGATATACATATCAGAAAATATGAATTAGTATCTTGTGGATTATTGTGTATACTTAAGGAAATAGGAACCTATAGGTAGATCTTAGTTAATTGTCACATTTCAGTGAATGGTTCTGATGAAAGAACTAAAGATGCATTACGAAAAATAATACAATTTTCTGAAAACATGATCCTGGAGAAAAAGTTATTTTTGATTGGTGACCTAAACACTGTACATAGGTGGGAACAAGATGAGAGGGTACAAAAAAGTGATTAGATCATTCAAAAATCCAAGAATTGATGAAAATGATGGAATGATTATTCATGTAGAAAATGTCGGTTCCAAGTAACTGATTTAAGGATGTCTACTTCAGTATACATATGACAAACAGGTGACTGTAAATGGGGCTTTTAGTCCAACTTCTACACAGGGAAGAAAATGTGTAAAAGCTGAACCTTACTTATTTTGTAAACAGTGGCAGGTGTTGTGCCTACCACTCAAGTGGAGCTGCACACAGACGCCTACCGCTCACACAGAACTATCCCCTTTCCCACCCCCCGCTGGATTGCCAAGCCGGAAAGGTTGGGGACCATTGATATAAAGCACAAATAATTGTCAGTGGGGATCTAACAAAATCCTGCGAGATATAAAAATGGACAAGATAGGGATTTCTATTGTCTCTTCTCTTGTTTATTTTAATTCTTGAAATATTGAATAGTACTGTAAGGCAAGGGAATAAAAATTCAAAAATAAACTTGTAAATTAAGTACATTTATTGATGACTTGTTATTGATCTGGAGGATCCCGTAAAATGTATAAAGACATTAATTGGAAGATTAGTTGTTGTGCTCTCAGGTTTTCGGGTTAATAATAAAATACTAATCTCTCTCTCTCTGTCTGTCTCCCTTCCTCCCTCCTCTCTCTGTTTTAAAACTATGTTCTGAATAGCCCTAAGGTGGTTGGGGGAAGGGGGTAGTTGATTCCAGAACAGTTTTTCTAAACTGCAAGGGAAAGGCAAAACTTGTCAGCTAACATTCAGAAGCTTCACACCCCATGAGGCATTGGTGTTTATGATAGCTCATCATTTTGCCCCTTGATCAGGGTTTCCAGGATGTTTTTCCTAACTAACAGTTTCTGCAGTTTGAGAAAGTTTGAAAAACCCTTGGTCTACTATGTTTGTTGATTTAAAAAGAGGACATAATGAAATGAATAAGCTTGAATGTGGACTTAAAAGTTGGCTGCTGAATTCAATAAATCAGTGCAAGTGGCCCAAGAATAATGAGATCACATACAAAACTATGTGTATTTTATAAGCATGTAATGAAATGCAAATGTAAGCATCTGTTCACCATTTTGCATATGTGTAAAATACACCTAAAACAATCTAAATCTACATAAATTTAAAGATGTGATAAAATGCCTCAGTATAAGAGCATACCCTGGTTCATTGTTATACAGCACCTTTTTTGGATGGAACCTTGTAAGGTAGGCAAGGCCGGTTGCATGACGTGGGTGAGTTTCGGCACCTTTTTTTTTTTTTTTAGAAAAAAAGCACTGAGTGAAAGAAACATAAAATTAAGTTGAAAGTAGTTGGAATATATCACAAATATATTAAGGAAGACTGAATGAGTTAAAAAGAAAAGAGAAGAGAGAGAAAAATACTAAACTATAAAAGGGAACAGAAGGAAAAAAGCCCCAAACCATTTTATATTGCATAGAAATATTAGTTTGGCCTTATCTTAAAATAAATCTTCATATCTTGATTTTAAAAAATGAAATCATCAGTCTTCACTTTGATAAAGAGTTCTGCTATTATTGAACAGTGATCTTTTACGCTGTTCCCTATAGTCAATAAAACAATAATTCTTCAAATAATTATAACTGTATATACATTCTTCTTTATTCTTTATCACTCTAATTATTCTTCATATAATTGTAACTATATATAATATAAAAACTAACTTTTGGGTGTATGGTGTAAATTTACATTCATATATTCCAATCCTATTTATAACAGCATATTAACAGACATCGAACCAAAATGGCATAATAATATGACAAGCTCATGCAGTATGTGTAAGTATACCTTCATACCAAAGTTAAGAGCCAGCCCTTTTAAAACTTATTCTGGAGTGATCAATAAATAGGAAAGGTTCAGTTGAAAATATTCAATCTTAAAATCATAAGAAAAGTTATTAATATTCTTTAAGATTCTTAGCTGTTGAATTGTTAGTATGACATATTTAAACACTTTATTCAAGAGTTCTTGCAAATAGCTAATATCTATTGTATTGATAGACTGACGTAAAGATTGATTGAAATAAAGATGCTTTACTAATGATATTACCTCCTCTAGATTGTAACATTTAAAGCGTGTGCCAATAATGGGAGAGTTTCATATTTTTATTTATTTATTTATATTTATCCCACCTTTGTAATTCTTATACTCAAGGCAGTGCACATATCTAATACTCTTTCCTCCTCCTATTTTCCTCACAATAGCAACTTTGTGGTATAAATTGGGCTGAGAGAACATGACTAGCGCAAAGTCACCCAGCCAGCTTTTATCCTAGGATGGGATTAGAACTCATGGTGTTTTGGTTTCTAGTATGGTTGCCTTAAGCACTACACCAAACTGGCTCACTGCTGCAAATGCATCTGGGCCAAATTTAACTGGCATATGGACCTAGTAGAAGCAGGCATAATTTACAAGAACAGAATGGCCTGGAAGATTGATGGGTGGAATTGGTATAAACTAACTTCAGTTAAATGTCCTTTTCTTTTAGCTCATTTATTCATTCATTCATTTATTTTGCCCACTTCTCGCTGTTTTGATTGCTTTGCATAGTATTTACCCACACACACACACACACACACACACACACACATTATTATGGGTATACAGTATTAATCTTGTTTTTCTTGCTCTTAATAAATACCCATGGCTTCATGATACTTACCTGCAGAGAGTTCTTATTTTGCTAGATAATGATTATATACAGAAAACAAAATATGCACTTGAATATATTTACAGAGGCCGGTGCAAAGGCTGTTTTATAAAGGGCCTCTGGGGAGGCTGGGATGGAGTTGCCTATGGGTGAAGTTCTAATTCCATTTGCAAAGATTGGTTTAATTTGTAAATCCAATGAGGGCATGCTTCTAGGTTGACTAAGAAAAATACCCAGTGTTCGTATTGCTGGTACTTATATTAGTTTGCCTGACTTTCTGATTTTCATGATCTTTTTGCCCAGTGGCAATCCACTTCCATATTGTTGCCAAGAAAGCAACACAGATGCATTATGCAATTACCAGGAGCCAAGTTCCACTTGAAGGGGACTTTTCCTTGTTTAATAATTGTTTCTAATCATTGCTACTTTCTCCTTCTGTCTCTTGCTTATTCTATCTCTCTCTTTTCAAATAGGTAACTTGGCTCAAACAAGGGTAAGAGTAACAGCTGCATCCAGATCTTTACCTCCACAGCTTGGGTCAGGTCGTATTAAGGTAAGTATACACCTAAACTTTGAAAAGTGTTTCATATTTGAAAAGAGCCTGAAGTACAGGTAGTCCTCGATTTACAACCACCATTGGGCCCAACATTTCTGTTGCTAAATGAGACATTCGTTAAGTAAATTTTGCCCCATTTTACAACCTTTCTTGTTAAGTGAATCACCGCAGCTATTAAGTTAGTAACACAGTTGTTAAGTGAACCTGGCTTCCCCATTGACTTTGCTTGTCAGAAGGTTGCAAAAGGGGATCACATCATCCCGGGACATTGCAACCATCCATAAATCTGAGTCAGTTGCCAGGATCCAGATTTTGATCATGTGACCATGGGGATGCTACAATGGTTGTAAGTATGAAAAACAGTCATAAGCCACTTTTTTCCAGTGCCATTGTAACTTCAAATGGTCGGTAAATGAACTGTTGTAAGTTGGAGACTACAGTATCTGTATACTAGAGGGGCTGAAATGCTTTCTTGTTATTTATTCTCACTTAGAATTCATTTTCAAAGGCACTGACTTGTAATAGTCGCGCTATTTAATTTTGGTTAATTATTTGTCACATTACTATTAAAAAAGAGGTTTTGCTTATTTTTTTTCCTCTTTAGGAGAATAATCTTTATTACCATTTCCTTTCTTTTTATTGGCTTTTTTCCTTGCTCTTTCTTATTAGTTGCACACAGAAAAATTAACATGTAATCTCCCTCCTGGGAATAATGCATTAATACTGTAGTCATACATGGGCTTTTAAGCAGTTCCCTCCTGACCATAGTAAAAATGACAATAAAGGTTATCTAATCTAATTTCTGTTTTTAAGTAAATCAGACATTTGACATAAACTAACACTGACATTCTTTTGAGATTTCTTCATAGCATATATAGTTTAACATTCTCCTCATTCATTTTCATGATTAAGTTTGGTGAATTTGGTAGACAGTACTCAACCAAAGTATGTTAGAGTCCCAAGGCCATCCTCCAATTATTTGATTGAATTAGAAATTATATAAGTCTTTTTCCTATAACTTTTGGTGAACACAGATGTGACACAGCTTCTCCTCCTCCACCCAGCTTTTGAATTCTCAGCAGTGGAAGTCACCAAAGTTCTACTGTAGATGGAACATTCCTTGTGCTACCAATAAAAACAAAACAAAACAAATGCTTCATCTTTGTATAAACTGTCTTAACTGTCCTCAAAGACGACAGTGATGGTTGCCTCCTCCCAGATTAAATAAAGAAGGTAGCTTCACTGCATGTTGGAACCTCTAAAAGGACATAGAAGGTGAAGGTGTTTCTTCCAATTGATTTCATTAAACAATACCAAGAAAGCAAGAGAACTAAACACAGAACTGCTATTTTTGCTGGCAGCTCTGAAATTTCTATTGATTTTAATTTTATCCTATTTTTTTTCCAGAGCCAGACTCTTTCTTCAGTATTGATATGTAGGCCCACACATAAAAATGATAAACTGAAAAATTGGAATTAAACAACACTATGAAATAAGGCTGAAACATCTTTGAATCAGTATCTTTCTTTGGACATTTTGTACAAGATACAAAGTGCTATCATCTATTGTCCTCTTTCACCAGCGAAAGGAGTTATCTTCCATTTAGAAGTACCTTTGATCAGATACAGGTAGTCCTTGACTTACAACCACAATTGTAACTGGAATTTCAATTGTAAGTCAGTATGGTTGTAAGTCGAGTGTAACCAGACTTGATTTTAGGATCATTTTTTCAGGGGTTATAAAGCAAATCACATGGTCATTAAATGCATCACAAGGTCATTAAATGAATCTAGCTATTCCAATGGACTTTTTTTTTGCTGGAAACTGATAAAAAAAAATCACAAATCATGATCATGTGACGGCAGGACACAGCAACCCATCATAAATGCGAGCCCATTGACAAGCACCTGAATTGTGATCACATGATCCTGGGTGTAGTGCGATAGTCATAAGTGTGAGTACAGGTCCTAAGGCACTTTTTGCAAGGCTGTTGTATCTTTGAGCCATCCTTAAATGGATGACTGTTAAGTAGAAGACTATCTGTAATGTAGAGCAGCCTACTTTAAAACTGATTACACCTCCCTCCCTTTCCTAAATAACCCTTCCCCTTGTGCCATCTTTGCTGTTGCAAAGAGAGTTGTCCCTAACTCTCTGGAGAAAATTTAGAGTGGCACAGTGAACTGCAGAGGGAGAGCAATTCAATGAAAATCAGGTCTTTCAATTAGCAGAGACTAACCCAGAGGTCCCCAAGCCCTGGTCCGTGGACTGGCACCGGGCTGCGGTGTACCAGAAACCGGGCTGCGCAAACAAGCGAAGCTCCATCCATGGGATACAGGCAGCACACGAAACCACGTCCTCTCCTTTCCCCATAGAACTGGTCCCTGGTGCCTGAAAGTTTGGGGACCTCTAGAGGGGTAGGCAACCTCGGCTCTTTTATGACTCGTGGACTTCAACTCCCAGAATTCCTGAGCCAGCATAGCTGACTCAGGAATTCTGGGAGTTGAAGTCCACGAGTCATAAAAGAGCCGAGGTTGCCTACCCCTGCTCTAGACTAACCGGATCTCTGTCCTTGAGACAGGAAAGTAATTGTAGGTGTATAGATTTAAAAACAAAGAAGAAATAAAAAGTAAACCAAATAGCCTTTAGCCCAAAGAGACCGGTTTTCCTGAATGCTGACAACTGGAGATTAAAAGAACCTTAGAAGATAATGCGGAGCAACGCTATAATGCACTAATATGGGATTCATATTCCCTCTCTCCACCAGAGAAAAAGGTTGTGCATTTCTGCTTGGAAATATCTCCCTCGCTTCTTTCCCTTTAGATGTGAATTTAGAAGGTTGACATTTCCTTGGTTATGTGACCTACATTTCTCATTGCCCATGCTGAGGCAGCATTTCTTTCCTCTAGCCTTACATGGGACTTTTCTGTCACCACTAGAAATGTCTTCCAGAGGGGCTCTTTTAACATTTTCATTTGAAAACTGTTTTGTTCTCTGAAGAAGAAAACAGCAACTATTCTCAGTTTTGGAAAAGAAGGTTTTATTTTTCCACATTCCCCCCTCCTTCTCCCCTCTCTGTATCAGTCTGTCTCTTTCCTGGCACTATATCAAAGAGTCTCTTAAATCCACTCCCACTCTTGTAATTCTCCTGGGTACTTCTTTCTTCTCCTGGCTGTTTTGCATGCACTCCTAAGTATCTCCTCAAAGTAAGGCATGGCATTCCTATTTTGCGATCAGCCATCTTTTCTATCCCTTAATGGTATGGGACAGGTGGATGATTTTGGGGGACAAGGGGAAGAGACTCTGCCTAGGAAACAGTAAGACAAAAGGTAGGAGCCCTCGGTGGCTCAAAGATCAGAGGAAGAAGATCCTTAGGAGGGACTTGCCTGAATGGATCAAGCAGTTAAAAGTGCCAGCAGGAAGTTGTACTGACTTACAATTGAAATTCCAGTCACAATTGTGGTTTTAAGTCAAGGACTACCTGTATCTGATCAAAAATTCATCAACAGACTTGCAAACTTCTGTTAATGTAGCCTTACAGTAAAGTAGTATTAGCTCATCTAGTCATGTTTCTTGTCTGTTTTACCAGGTAGGGTTGACAATGCCTCTGCTCGTAGCCCCCTCTGAGAATATTAGGCTGGATCTGACATGACTTAGGAAACAGGATGTGAAGTGGTGGCCTCTGAGCTTAAAGCAGGTGCTAAAAGTTCTGCACAAAGGCTTCACATATTCTTAGGTTAACCACCTGTTCGTAGCAGATGGCATACTACCACAATGTGTGGGTGTGTGCTAAAATGTTTCTAAGCTCCATATGAACAGGGAGCAGATTGTCTTATTTCATTTGGGTGATGCAATGAAACAAAGCAGCTTTTGATTGGCAACTACTAGAGGAGATTTTTTTTTTCATTCACAAAATCTGATGCATGTACTTATTTTTAATTTAGAACAGCTGTAATGTTAGCATAATGAAGGCATGTTATAGAGTGCTTGCTATTTCATGTATTTGTTTGGGGGGATGAAGTACTTCAAAGTTTTTTATTTAGAAAAGTGACAATTTGACAGGAAGAACCAACTAATGACATGGGGCAATAGAAAACTACTCCAAAAGGGTATAGAAATGTTAATGTTCTAGGGCAAGGCAATGTGAGAGGACAATAGATATCTATCCATATTATTTAATCCTGCTATGATTCATCATGCATTATAGATCATTACAGTTGTCTACATCTTTGAATCCTATGGGGAGAAAACTTTTTAAACCATACTCTAAATTACAAAGTGGCATATCATTACTTATTTCCAGATAGTTGGTATGTGCCCTATGTTACCAAACTAGCACTATGAACCAAGAGATGGTGTCAGTAGGCTTGAAGACACCTTGAGATATTTTTTATAAAGATTCCTCTCTCAAAAAAAAAAAAAAAAAACCTGAAGAGAAAAACCCTAAAGGGATAGAGACACAAGATAGCTCAGTGAATCACAAAAGTGTTAACTGGCCGTAGAACATCGTCTTTGAGCTGGAGTGGAATAGAGTGTTTGGAATCCTGAACAGGGAATATCTTATCCTACAGCATTTACTTCTGGACCCCACTTGTTTTGTATAATGGTATCATAGGTAAATGAACATTGCATTTGTTATTATGTTTGATATTGGTTCTGATAATAAGTCAGTTCAGCTTATTCCTTTTCCTCTGATGCATAGTGAAAAGTATATAGATTTTTCACATAAATACATACAGTACATCAATACTATTTAAATGGGACAGATTACTAAGTTTTGTCACTTGAAGAGAGTTTCTTTTATTGAATAAATGGACTCGATTAAAAAAAAAAGGCACTGGGTTCCAAATTTATATCTGTCTGTATTATTTTTTTTAAAGGCAAGCTCAGATCTTGGTGTTGGTGGATGTGGTCATATAATTTTCTTGGCCATAGCAGCATACCATGGGCATTGTCTTATGACTTGGGGACAAAAAGAAAGGACTTGGGGATATCCAGAGAGTCAGCAGTAGGTGTGGAATCAGGTTGCTGGTTGTGACCCTTAACTGGAATTTTTGTTCCCCCCTATCTAAAGACCCTCCCTTGTAGGACTAGAACCAAGCAGGTAGCCAATAGGTCTCACTAAACCTCCCACTCCAGTGACCAAGGGAACCGCCAGCTTTTTAATGCCTTACAACAGTGGTTCTCAACCTTTTTAATGCCGTGACCCCAACCGGTCATAAGTCGAGGACTAAACCGGTCATAATTCGAGGACTAAACTGGTCGTAAGTCGAGGACTAAATCGGTCGTAAGTCGAGGACTACCCAACCGGTTGTAAGTCGAGGACTTTCCCTGCCCGGGAGTGCCGCACATGCGTGGTTCCGCCCCCTGCGCCGGCCAAGGCGTAGCTGGCAAGCGGCAGAGACGAAGCAGGCCGACCACCAGCTGGCCCAGCCCAAGGGAGGTAAGGCACCCGCCAGAAAAGGGGAAAAAAATGGCGGACAAAAAAAATGGTGGACAAAAAAATGGCGGACAGCCTTGCTTGGCGACCCCCATGAAATGGTTGATCGACCCCAAATGGGGTCCCGACCCACAGGTTGAGAACCACTGCCTTACAAAATGCTTAACAGGACTGGGTTAATCCAGATCTCTAGGGAGCTGCTATTCCATAGGGCAGGTTCTACCTAATTACAGATAGCCTTCACCTTTCAACCATAATTGGTACTGGAACTTCCATTGCTAAGTGAAGCAGTTGTTAATTGAGTTGTTAAGCAAATTCGGCTTCCCTCGTTGACTTTGCTTGTTAGAAGTGCCTGGGAAAGTCACAAATGGTGATCACATGGCCCAGGACACTGCGAATGTCACAAATACATAAATTAAATGAATGGTGATAAGTTTGAAGACTACCTGCAATGAAGAAGAATAAAAGTAGAGAGATTAACGCAGAAGAAAGAAAGACTGAGAGAAATTCAAATGCATACCCATGGTTCAGGCATGTCTACTTGCACTTCTAAGCTTGGTTCTGTACATGTCATGTTGAGTAATAAAGTCAATTCACTTTTACTTGTCCTACAATGAAAAAGGAATCTCTGCAAGCAGATTTTTTTTTTCCTGAGGTTTGAGGTGTACATACCCGATTGGTAAGACCTCTTCCTTCTGGGTATGTTCTTTCTTTTTCATTACACAAACTTGAAATCACTGTGGCACAAAAGGCAAATTAAGCAGCTTGTCTGGAAGTTTACTGATTTCTGCTGTCAGTTGGAGGGAGCGCTTGTGACTTCAATCCAGTTGGGCAAAGCTTGTACTGTATTAAGACTAACCAAATGGCACAAAGCAATGTACATTGTCAAAATATTAACTATTTATCCTGACAAAGGTAAAAGTTTAGAACCATATCATCCTACTCTAAAACAGAAAACACATCCGTCATATTGGTGAAGAATAAATAGATTTATAGCTATATATTATCAAGCAATCTGCCTATCTAGCTGCATTTCCCCCCCAATGTATAAGACTATCCAAGTCTTGATTGCAGGAGTGTCTCAGCAGCTAATGGGGACTTTCTACATTTACTGCATTGACCCAGGGTCTTTTTGGACTACTTTCTAACCTTATCATGAATTCTGGGGGGAAAAAAGTGTTACAAAATTTTTATCACTCTAAAATTGGGGAGGGAGTTTGAAGATAGTCATAATTAAACACAGCTTTTTGCTTCTGTATATACAATGTGATGATGTTAAAATCTCCCGCTCTTCTCCAAACTGCTCTCAGACACTGAGAGATCAGAGGTGCATGAAAATGAGGTTTAGGTAGTCCTCAACTTACAACCACAATTGAGCCCCAAATTTCCATTCTAAGCGATACAGTTGTTAAATGACTTTTACCCATTTTGCAAATTTTCTTGTCATAGTTATTGAACTGAATCATTGCAGTTGTTCAGTTAGTAAGACAGTTGTTAAGTGAATCTGACTTCCCCATTGGCTTTGCTTGTCAGAAGGTTGCAAAAGGGGGTCACATGAACCAGTTGTCAAGCATCTGAATTTTGATCACGTGACCACAGGGATGCTGCAACAGTTGTAAGTGTGAAAAACGGTTCCTTTTTTCAGTGCTGTTCTAACTTTTAATGGTCACTAAACGAATAGTTATAAATTGAGGACTACCTATACTGCACATTGTGGTAGTTGGCAAGCAGTTGTTTTTTTTTGAAGTAGGAAACTTTTCTCTACATACACAGATCAAGATGGATGCACAGTCTTTAAATGGATAGGAACAATGTTGGGAAACATATATTGAAGATATACTGTATGTTTCCTAACTCATATATCATACCTAACAAACGTAAGCATAATAACAGATGGCTCAAGACTTTTTTACCTCTCTGATTTTTGTTTCCAGATTGACACCATGGAAATTATGAGGCATCCTGAGGAAACCACCAACATGAAGAGACAAACTGTGGCTTCCTATTTCAGGGTAGGGAATTTAAATTGTACTACTATAATTTCATTGCTTTCCCAAGATCTCATTTAAATAATATTGGCAGTATGCCTGGCACTGTGCTGAACATTCATAAGCCCTGCCAGAAGGAATTCCTTGAGATGGACAAGGCAGGGATGAATGAACATGTCAGCAAATGGCTTAATTATTTTAGTAAAATTGAGGAGTGACCGAGGTCAAAGGAAAACTCTAAAGATAAGGCTTAACTGGGTAAGAAGAAGGCAGATTTTAAAAGGGATTCAAACATATTTATGAATCTATTATATCTTGTTAGAATATAATAGGTAAGGAAAGGATGCCTAGATTTTCATTCCCTTCAAAGAAAATAGTGCTCTTGTGCTATATTTTTATCATGCTTTCCTTTCCTTAGTATTCTCTGATGGATCTGCTATCTAAAATGGTGATTGGGCAACCTCACTTTGTTCGCTGTATTAAGCCCAATGATGACCGAGAGGCATTGAAATTTTCTCAAGAAAGAGTCTTAGTGCAGCTACGCTATACTGGCATTTTAGAGACCGTCAACATACGTCAGCAAGGATATTCTCATCGCATTCATTTTGAGGAGTTTGTAAAAAGGTAAGCTATTCATGCTTTATACTAAAGAATTACCTTTAAAAATGTCTTTTAGTAGGATTGGAGGCTAAATTGTTCAGAGCCAGTTCACCAATTCCTAGATTATAGTAATTCAGAAAACAGACAGGGATAGAATTATGTGGCTATGGTACCATATGTATCATAGTTATATGGCTGCCCATCCCACAAAAAATCTGAATTGGGGCAGCAGATATGCAGTTAAGAGAAGATAATATTTTAAAAAATATTTTCTTCCTCTTTTACAATGTTGAAAAGTTATAGTTTTAGGAGGTTTTGATTAAAAAAACAAAAGAAAAAATCTACATTTGACAATTCCACAAATGGCAAGACACAAATATTGGAAAACAGGGGGCAAAATTGGTAAAAAAAAAAAATCAGGACAGGTTGAATTTATCAATTGTATGATGTGCTTTTAGTTTTGTCTTTTACTAGAACATTTGGCAGATTTGTTACCAAGATTTTCCCCAGTATGTGGAGAGTATATTGATCAGTTAAAAGGTAACATCTTCTTTGAACTGAGTAAATCTCCTGGTGAGTTTATGGAGGCATCCCTGTACCGTAGTTTTCCTGCATAGTAGATTATATTAGAGAATATTAGAGAATATATTTCCACTGCCTTCTAGGACATCTTCTCAAATTTTCCCATTAGTTCCATGAAGGTTTTCCATTGAACTATTAACTAGGTTCATTTCTACTTTTTCTGAAAAATAATTGGTATGGCATATAAAATGGAGAAAGAAAAAAATAAGCTTAACAGAAACCAAATAAACAGAATAGGGGGAGGGGGAAAGCAAAGAAAAAATTATACACAAAGACATTTTTTAAACAACAGGTTAAATCTTAACTACCTTACCAGTATCCCTGAGACTTTTCTCTGTTTCATATGAAATAGCTGAGAGCAAATATATTTCATCAATCCAAGATTTAAAATAAGTAGTTACAGATCCTACAGTTTCCACTGAAGGAAAACCACTTTTAGCTGCAAGTCATGCATAATAAATCCAGAGTTTTTCATACATTGTTATATTCCAAATTTTTGGTATAAAAATTACCTTACAGTAGCATTCTTGAATTTTCCTTTTCTTCCCAGTCCATAACTTATGAATATTAAGGTAAAAGGAAACAATCACGGAGCAGCTCAATGTCCCCTCCACTAGATCATAGGTTGAGGTTGACATCTACCTCTTAATAAACATCTTGTAAGGTATCCAATACACTAAGGAAAATGCTTTGTTGATTTGGATATAATTAAAGATTAAAAGTGCATATTTAACATTCTTTAAAATCTTAACTCATTGATATGACAGGATATTGCAACTTCTTGTTCCAATTTTCATGCAAATAACTGCTTCTATCTTGATAATACTCTTCAACCAATCAGTTTAACCACAAACTTGAAGACCTATTTAATTACCAAGGGCAGACAAAGTCAGGCAGATAGTGTCATCTGCAGAGACTTTGATGGGTCAGAAGATAAATAATTGAATGACTCCTCAAGAGACATTCAGTGATAATGATCTAGAGGCCATCCAACAGTACAATAATATATTTACAGACCAACTATAAGCCTCAATACATTGGCTGGTAAAGGTTATGAGGTGAAAGAAGCATCTCTTTGGCAACAGGAATTCTTCCAGCTCACAGGTAATGCTATTTAGGTTTTGAGATAATGCCTGTATCAGTTGATGTTCCCAAGACATAACATTTCAGGTTTGAGGCATACCGTAGATAGTTTTGGACCTTTTAGTTCTAAAGATTTTTGGATCTCTGAGAGAACTTGGGGTCAGGTCTCCAGTTACATTAGTAGTTCTAACATGCTTAGTTTCCTTCCATTGAATGACAGATTTTTTTAATAAAAAAATTAATAAAAGCAGCTGCAAATTGCTAGGGAAAAATAGATATTCCCACTCACTTGTTCTTACATGGTCCTTTTTACATTTCAGCTGGGTGGATTCATTTAGATGTAATACATAGACCAAATTTATGGTATATGCATACATATGAATAGTCATAATTTGCCATTCTGTCTGCTGCTCATGATAGCATATATGATTTATGTGCAACAATTTGGGGTTAGCCTAAAGAATAGTAGCTAGGTCATAGTTATCCAATGGGCTTCTGGTTGAGTTAGACTTAAAAACAGGTATTTTTTATTCCATTCTAACATGACATTCATTTTAACTCTTGCTATTGAGTTAACCAGCTATTGAAATCTGTTTTATGCTATTGCTATTTAATGTCTGTGACCTGCTTTTAATTTTAAATAATTGTGTATTTTATTTTATTTTATTTTTCCTTTAGAATATGTGAAATATACACATGGAATCATTTCTATGATTTACAATCGTTTTTATGTTGAATTTTACTTCTGTTACATATGCTTAGGTATAAGGAATATATAAAAACATTTCAGAAAAACAGGCCCAGACACTAAATGCAATGGCACTTCATCCTTTTTTGTTAAACAGGCAAGTATAAACAAGAGTTTTAAAATGTCAGTAAAACTAAGGATATCAAAGATTTTTCTAAGCCAATGACTTTATATTTTGATCCATTTTTGTAACTTACCAACAAAATAAATGAAACATTTCCCCCTTGATGTTGCTTAATGAATAAGCACATTTCTTACAAATAGGCAAACTTCTTATCTCTAGTAGCTGCTGTTTTGTAAACCCTTAACAGGAAAGATGAGTACAGAGTACTCAAAGACAGGAAATAGACAGTCTGAGGTAAATAAAAGCTAAACTTTTGTTTGATGCTTTGCCTGTCTGGTTTTTATGTGTTATGGGGCTATTTTATGTGGCAAGCCTGGAACTTACTTTAGAAACACAAATTTTAATTGCTACGAATTCTCTTAGCCAGTTATCCTCAAAATCCTTAGAATAAAATTAAGCATGTATTTGGGCTCAATCTTGGAACTTCCTTTCAGTGACGTGTGTCAGTCTTGGAAAGTTTGGCTTTTCCAAAGACATGGTGTACCTGAGCATATTCGAGTATGGTTTATATAATGACTAAGTACCTGAAAAGTTTGTGTAGTGGTTAAGGTATCAGACTAAAAACTGGTAGACTGTAAGTTCTAGTCTCGCCTTAGACACAAAGTCAGATGGGTGACTTTGAGTTAGTCTCTTTCTCTCAGTCTTAGGAAGGAAGCAAATTAGGGAAACCACTTCTAAAAAAAACTTGCCAAGAAAACTTCAGGGACTTGTCCAGGCAGTCTCCAAGAATTGAACAGAAGAAAAAAAAATACCTTGAGATTTAATATTATTTTAAGACTTCCTAGTCATCCAGTTAGACTTCTTGTTGCTTTACTGTTTGGTGGAACAAGATGACTGTTGCAGGCAACAACTGTTGTGGGGGTGGGTCTGCAAGTGCATTGTGATCTTCTCCATACCCTTAAACTTATCTGACGACCTCAAGTCTGGTAGAAGATACCACCCATAGATTTGAAGCAAGAGTCAACTGCCATGGCAATCAGCAACCTTAAATCTTAAGCTGCTCAGAGTCTTTTGGGACAGTGGAGATGGGCAGTATAAAAAATTAACAAATAAATGAATAAAATCCTTAAATGGAACAGGAAATTTACTGGCTTCTCTTTTGTCTCAGACAGCAGAGTGTCTTGGACTGAGCAAACTTTTCCCCTTTATCCATGATAAAGCATCATAGAAGAAATTCTGAAAGATCAGTTCCATGAATTTGTAAATTAGACATGTGATTCAGAAGCCATTCATTTTGGTTTGATGTTTTGATCTATAACTAGTTTTCTCTAAACCACTTAGCATAATGTATGCAAATACAGTGCCATACAATTGCATTATGCAAAATAATAGGGAACAGCTCAGAGAAATCAAAACATACAGTTACATGGAGAGTCCTGTGACATCTTAAAGACTTTTAAAATTTATTATGGCTACATTTGTCTGTACTGGAATTGATTTAAAATGTATGCAGTTATGATCTGCTGGCCAGAATGTTCCAGCAAAAAGTTCTTGGTCAGCCTACCATAGATCTTCTTGCTACTTCTGCTGTGGAATTCCCCTCTCTATGTTAACTGCCAGAAATTTGGTGCAGAAACACAGTAGGTGAGGATGTATTGCCTTTATTTATTCAATTTATATAGCTGCATATTCTCATACACCGGGCAGCTTGTAATGTGTACACTTTGAGAGGAAGCCACTAAATTTCAATTTTAATGAGTGCCATTGTGCCCACAGGAAAAAATGACAATGAAGATTATCTTATCTAATCTAATTAGTATATTGTGTCACTCTTGGATATTGAATGTCTATCATTATTATAAAGGGCCATCAATTTGAAATTTGGAAAGGTAGCAACGAGTTTGAGAGACACTATTTTCTAAAGAATATAATAAATCCTGTGAATCTCTTTAAGTGAGGACCAGGTAGCTTAAATGTTCTTTTGGAGTCATTAACATGAATATAACTGAGCAATGAACAATGGTCACATAGTTTTTGTTTAATGTTGTTAGGCAAGAATAATGAAGATAAGTTGTGGCCCATATTTTACAGTTCTTTATTTGTAGCTGTTCCTAAGGCATTATTCTCAAAGAAATGATTGTTACATCATTTTTCTAAATGCACTTATCATATTAAAGAATAAAACCCATTGAAAGCCATGCCACTTACCTTTGCATAAATTCATGTAGGATAGTGGATTAAATCATCCATTCCTACCCAGTTCAACATAATTTATATATTTTTTCTACAGGGGTAATGTATGTTCAGCTAAATATGCAAATAGCCTTCCTTCCTTCCTTCCTTCCTTCCTTCCTTCCTTCCTTCCTTCCTTCCTTCCTTCCTTCCTTCCTTCCTTCCTTCCTCCAATGCACAAATATTATTTTGTAAATGGAAACACCAACTACAGAAAATGAAAACATTTTTTGCACCAGCATCATATTTTCAGAAGCAGTTTGTTATGCATTAGATCCCTATTTCTTGTTTCATTTTGGTGAAAATGGAAATAGAAGCACTTAGATTTGCATTCCTCCCTTTATTTGTTAATGCTAATGAGACTCATACAAGTGCATCAGGACAAGTCCCACAGCTTTGATCTTGGCTTAAATTTCCCTGGCTTGTGAAATCTCTCAGAAGGGCCATTTATTATAAAACTGAGTGCATATCTTCTGCTGAATTACACTATTCATATGCAAGCAAGTATGTTAAGAGAACATTTACATGATGACAGGTCCATGCAATGTGCTGGGGGAGGGGGGCAAGGAGCAGTGCTATGGGAGGCTGCTGAAGATTCAAGATTTGTGGAGTAGGATAAAGTGATGGGGAAAACACATGGTATACCATCATTAATTGTGGGAGTGCTAATAATTATATAATATCAACATCACCTTTTACAAAGGATAAAATAAATATTGTTATTTATTCTACTTCCTTGTATCAAAGCAAACTTGTATTGCTTTTTAATGTAACTATTATTTCTTCATAAATTTATTTATTTAATTAAATAATTAAAAATAAAGTGAAGAACTTAGGGCATCTGTAATATAACCATTGAGCACTAAATGATGACTCTTCAAATAGGAAGAGTATACATCTTATCTTACAGAAGATGATGTTTAGTACAAAGGACTGTCAGAAAAATGGTTTCTTTGGGAAAAATACTTGTCTGATTTAATCTCAAATATTAAAGAACCAAAGCTTTAATTTTGTCTGAACAATTTTGTTTGAACAATAGTCTGAACTGGTACACTGCTCAGGTGATCAGTGTCATGGAACTATTATACTACTGCATAATTTTTCTAAAAGTGTATGTATGCATATAAAGTACCAAATGCATATATTATTAAAATGTGCCTTTATCATACTTCTTTAGATATAGGAATTTGGACTTTTTAAGACAATCCCTGTTTCATAAGTATCTTGCTCTTTACTTATTCATTTTTGCTAACTTTCTATAAGATATTACATAGCTATGTTTTAGCAATCCAAATATCTTGATTTAGTGAATATTATCTAGAAGCTGGGAAAATGTTTGGCTTCTATAGACCTACTCCCTTGTTTTATTAAATATGCTTCTTATTTGTGAAATAATTGCTGCCATAGCCACAATTTTATTTATTATTTTATGTGTGTGTGTGTGTGTGTGTGTGTGTAGCAATCTTACAAAAAGCAGGTTTCACAAGATTAAAAGGGTGGAAATGAAAAGAAAACATATATAACCTAACCACCAGGCTGCGGCCCACTAATGGGCCTTCAGCCATTCGGAATTGGGCCACAGAATGGCGAGCAAGTGCTATCCCGACTTGCATGAGCAGCAGGCGAGCGTGTGCATGCATGCTCCATTTGTGTGGGCGGCAGGGGCATGTGCCTACTGCTTGTGCAAATGGAGCACTCATGCATACGCACTTGCCCACTGCTCATGCAGAACCATCCCCTCTCTTCCTCCATTCCCCGCTGATCTGCAAAGCCAGAAAATTTGGGGAACTCTGATCTAAGGAACAGATTAAAATCAATTTTAGATGATATTTTAAAAGTCTGGGATAATATAGGTGCCCCAAAAGCAAACCAAGCCAGTTTTTTCCAAGGACAGGCTTCTAGAGATATTTGATAAGGTCTTCTCGCTAGTTACTGACTGCCAAATTTATTTTAAAGGAGGAGGAATAAGACAGATAGAGAAAATCTTAAATGTACTTAATATAGGAATATGTACACATAAAATTGTATTTTACCTGTCCAGAATCATAATATAGTACCATGATTGAAAAAATAGGGTTTATTTTGCAGTACATTCTTAAGCTATGTATAATTAAGGGATATTACTTTATTCTGGCCATCTGGTGGCCTTTAGGATGGGAACTGCAATGTATTTGGTGGTGATGGAAAGCTTCTCCAACACACTAGAGATCTGAGTAATATCCTTATTAATAAGGAATATAAAATACATTTGATAAAAAATCTATATATACCTTATTCCCAGTAAACATACATACATACATGCGTGTGTGCGAGAGAGTGAGTGTGTGGCCATGATTTCTGGAAGATTGTGTGAGTCATGTTTTAATAAACATGCAAATTGTCAGTAACGTTCTCTTTCTCAATCTTTTTCCAAAACTATCCACTCTATTATTGTTCCGTTAAAACAGTATGTAAAATATTTTGCTTTCACACTGGGAATTACCAGGTTTTCTTTTGTTTTGTTTTTTAGTTTCATGTTACTTTGTAGAAAACATTCTAATCCTATAATAGTGTCTTTGAGACATCCAGTTGATTCTGTATTTAGTAAATCGCTTTCAGTTTGATTATTCTTCCACCAATTAACATATCACATGGATTATGGTATGATGCACAAGATAGAATGGTATCTTTAGAAAGAGACACGCAGCTGGTTGCTGCAAAAAAAAGTGTTTCAAAGTTTTGTAAACTCAAAAACAATGAAGAGCTTATGACATGCTCAAGCATAATACAAGTACTCCTCGACCTTCAACCATAATGGAGCCTGCCCATTATGATCGTAATACGTGGCAGTCATTAAACAGGGTGTCCAAGTGATCACCTTGCTTAATGACCATAATCCCTGCTCTCACTGTTGCACCATTAAGCAGAGCATGGAGTGCCTCAGGGGTGATAGAAGCCCTGAAAGGCCTAGCACAGAGCCAGGCCCATACTGCAACTACCTCCCCAACTCACAGGTGACCTGCCTGGGCTTCCCAGGGCCACTCTCACTCCCTGAGGAACCTGTGCTCTGCTTCCACTCTACTGGGGCCCTGCAGGCCTGTTTCCTGCCCTGCTGGGGCCTTGCAAGTCTTGGGCCCACACCCTCCTCCCCAACCCACATCGTGGCTGGATCCATTTCTCCTTTGAAAAGCAGGTGAGCCACCATGCCGTCTTTCTACATGGAGGCCATGTGGCACCGTATTTGAAGCAGGCCCCATTTTGGGACCAGTCACAATTCAACTATACTGTACTATACAGGGAGGCCGAAGGGTGGATTGGCTGGCTCTCCTTCCAAGGGCAGAATCTTTTTTGCCTTTGATTGCATTCTTGCTCTCTCCTCTGCTTCCCTTCCCTCACCAATAACTTCTATGTAATGAAGATGAATGTGGAAATCATTTTTACTGTAAACTAATTGTAGTCTTGACACACATTGAGTGAATCTGGGCTCAGTTATCTTTCAGTGTCACCAATCTTCTCTAAAACAAAAAAGCAATAGTAATATTGATATATTAATGCTTTAAATGAACATCAGCTTTAAGGCTGGTGAAGAAAGAATGTTATTAAGTAACTTGGGGCACCCCCATTAAATTTAGCAAGTTGATGCTCCCAACATTACCTTAGAATTTATCAAGATTTTAAACACATGTTTTTTAAGGGGGAAAAAACCCCTTGCCCTTAGCATTTAATGTCTCCAATAGAATTTCAAAATAAATGAAATTTATTGGAATCCTGAAATTAGTTAAGCCTAAATATGTATCATATGCCAAACATATATAATGGCATTCTGCTGCTTTAAAGATACATAAACCACTTATACAAAGTCAAGGGAAGTGAATGAAGATGAGTTGGCTGTGAAGATACATTTTAAGTTTTATTGGTGTGGTAAGGTTTAGATTTAATAGGAACACTGACCTTTTTAATCCAATTAAAATGCCCCATCCCAAAAGGCTTATCAAGCAGCCTGGTTTTTTTTATGGCTCTTACCGAAGACATATTCCATTTGGCAGGTGATTTTATGGCATGGGGACATATGTTTGGGTAGTGTACATATACAATATAATGAGAGATCCAGTTTGGTGTAGTAGTTAAGGTACCAGGATAAAAACCAGGAGCATGAATCCTGCTTTAGAGTAACCTGGCTGGATGACCTTGGGGCAGTCACTTTCTCTCAACCCTAACAAGGAGTCAGTGACTAACCATTTCTGAAATACCTTGCCAAGAAAACTTGCAGGAACTAGTCCAGGAAATTGCTCTGATTCATGAAATCCTAATCCATAATGTTTGCAGGATTTTCTGTGCCATAGTAAACAATTTGCTTTTTGAGATTTGATCTTGGTTATCTTTTATATTTCTGTAGATATTATTACATTGCTTTCAAAGCACATGAGAACCCTTCTCCAAGCAAAGAAAACTGCATTGCTATTCTTCAAAAGGCCAAGTTAGACAAGTGGGCTCTTGGGAAAACAAAGGTAAGATAAATTCCATTCCAAATCTCTTGGAGCAGAAGATACAATCATAATGAAAGTCCTGTAATATTTAGCAGTGCTGGGCAAGGTATTCAAACTAATGTTATTTTTAAAAACCATTATTTACAACCTATGTCTAAAAGCTGATTATACTATACTTCTTGAGTATAGTCCCTTCACTTAAAAGGCATGGGACATTGCCTTTCCAAAAGACATGGACATATACCCTCACAAGAAAATGGAATTGTATATTGTGGTCCATTGGCATTCTTGAGGATATGCCAGTCTTGAAGAATTTATTTCCCTTTTTATGTGAGAAATACTTGAGAAAAAATAGTCTTTCTGGGATGCTAACCCTTGAAATAAGGGACATTCTCAGATGCAATTAGCCATGTGCCATAAGGGCCATTGCTATAAACAAGAGCCAATTGGTAGACCTGTTTATATCTCAGCAGAATTTAATGTCACATCTAAGAGTTCATTCACACAATCTGCTTGCTCTGGCATGGATGCTCCACCTATCCTGTGATGAAGACGTGTCCTCATGACATCACCTCTATCTCATTATGAAATGGCTGCTAAGACAGTGTGGTCTTAGATGTTTTTGTGTAGAGTGATGTTTGCATCTGGTATTGATATAAAACATTCAATATTCTAATGAAAATATTTATGATCAAACAGTATATGTACATTTATTTTAAAGAGACATTTCTTTAAATTCATATTTTTACATGAATGTGAAAAATTGCATCAGGTGGCAGCATTTGTACGGTGAAGTTAAATGACTAAAAGAAAGGACAAAAGTGAGATTTTGAAAAATAAATAAAACTTTAGACAGCTTTCTGAAAAATAAGGACTGTTCTTTATAATAAAAGACATGTGGTCACTATATCTAAGAGACAAAAATTCTATGTAGTCCAGCGTCTCTTTTCCCAGGTACATTTGGGGAATCAATAAAGGGGAACAAATGGCACCAGGTGTTTCTCTTCCACCTTTCCCCAAGCAATGAATGTCCACAGATATGCTACCTTTGGACATTGAGCTCCATTTGACTTTCATGACCAATATCCAGTAATAGTACAGTACCACTTGTAAAAATGATTTAAGCCTGTGACTTTCCACATCCCTTGAAGCTTAGGTAAGAGGTTTCAAATAACCTTAAAGCATCCTGAAGTAATTCCAGCCTATGACTATTGCCTTCCCTATTTGAATTTCATGATTTTGTTTTGTTTTGTTTTGTTCTGAAGTGATATATGCTTACCTTGAATCTTCTGAGCATAACTGTTGAATTAATTTCAATTTTTTAAAGCTTTGCAGTCTCTGCCCAAAGTATTGCATTATGTACTATGGTAGAGCCTGGGCATCAAATCAACCTACTATCACTTCATACAAATGTCTATGCTATATCCTAAAGATATTTTTCCATGAAGAATTACCTCAGTGGAATCTGACTGACAAAATGGTTTTATGTAAGGAGAAGTGTCTCCTTTCCCATTCCACTTGCTTTCTGGATTGGGATCTGAATTTAGATTTGATATTGATTGATTTATTATGTGCCATCAAGTCATCTAGCAACCACATAGATCACGGGTGTCAAACTTGATCGAGTCACGTGATGTATTACGATGTTTTTTGCCTTTACGGCGCTAGGGTGGGCGTGGCGTGCGTGTGACGCATCCGGCCTATGGCCTGCCAGTTTGACACCCCTGACGTAGATAGATTTTCTCCAAGACATCTATCTCTAACTTATTCTTTGAAATTTCCCATTGCTGTAGTCATTGCCATTGTAACTGAGGCCTTGCTGCTGGACATCCTCTTCTTTTTCTTTCCACCTTTCCCAGCATCACAGATTTTTCCAGAGAGTTAGGTCTTTGCATAATGTGTCCAAAGTAGAATAATTGGAGCATGGTCATTTGTTCCTCAGGTGAGAACTATGGGTTGATTGGTTCAATGATTCATTGGTTTGTTTTCTTGACTGTCCTCAGAATTCTTAAAGAATTAATACTGTTCCTATAGTATACTGCTTCTTTCAAGGCCAATTTTTGCTTCTATGAAGTGTCATAGGAAATACTGTGGCTTGCATTTTTGACCTTAGAAAGACTAAATAATGATAATTAATTCCGCTCCACACATGCACGCGCACACACACACACACACACACCCAAACACACAGAACATATTGGTCAATTCAAGGCATCTAACATAATCAATCCTTCTGTCTTCTATTTTCCCCACAACAACAACCGTGTGAGGTGGATTGGGCTGAAAGACAGTAACTGGCCCAAAGTCACCCAGCCATCTTTTATGCCTAAAGCAGGACTTGAAGTCACCGTCACCTGTTTTCTAGGTCAGCACTTTTACCATTACACCACGCTGACTCTCATCCATTTCATCTTATGCATTTTGAGGACATGGGCACTAGGTTTGCCAAACCCAGTTCTGAGCTGAGCTAAGGAACAACATATTTTCCATTAGAAAGAACAGTTACTATTTTTTTGCAAAATGCTCCACTAATGTTGCTTGGAAAGCTGCCACCATTTTGATAGATCAGACCAATCCTCCTCTTCTTATCACACTGTAGTGTAGACCTATCTTTGTGAATTAATTTGGTCTACTGATCTATCAGATAATGTGATGTTGTTCTTTTGTTTCAGGTTTTCCTGAAATACTATCATGTTGAACAACTGAACTTGTATCTGCGTGAAGTTATAGGCAGGGTGGTGATAATGCAGGCTTATACCAAAGGCTGGCTTGGAGCGAAAAGGTACAAAAAACTCAAACAGAAAAGAACCAACAGCGCTATTACCATTCAGTCAGGTAAATATTCTGGATTTTCTATATCACTGAGGATTCCAGAGTTTCAAACCGTTAAATTGCAAATAAAGTGTCTCTTTGTTTTTTTAATACAGGNTACAGGTAGTCCTCCATTTACAACCGGTCGCTAAGCAACCGGTTGAAATTACAATGAACCCTGAAACAGTACTTACAGCCTGGATTTGAAGTTCCAATGGCCAGTTTCCCTCCCCCTGCAATCATATGACCACATTTTGGATGCCGAGCAACTGGCCCACATTTACGGCCCTTTGCAGTGTCCTGTGGTCACATGAATACTGTGTCCAGTTCTGGCCGCCACAATACAGAAAAAGTTGTTGAGACCTGGAAAGTGTGCCAAGGGGAACAAAGATGATAAAGGGTCTGGTGGCTAAATTATATGACAAATGGTAGAGGGTTCTAGGTATGTCTAGCCTATTGAAGAGAAGGATCAAAGTTGACAGGATACTGTAACTGTCTTTCAGAACTTCAGGGGTTGTCACAAAAAAGAAAAAATAGACTTATTTTTTAGGACAACAGAGGGCAGGACAAAAAGTAAAGGGTGGAAGCTTGTCAAAGAGAGATGCAATCTAGAAGTAAGGAAAAAAATTAATCAATGGAATAGCCTTCTGGGGTTGTAGATGCTACATCACTGGAGGTTTTCAAAAACACACTGGACAACCATTTGACTGGGACAGTATAAGACTCCTGTCTTGAGCAGGGGGTTGGACTAGAAGACCTCCAAGGTCCTTTCCAGCCCTATGATTCTATGATTCTATGAATACAATTTAAAGGTTGTGAAATTGAGTGTAGTTATGTGATGACCCATTTAGCTATCGTCCTGACTTACAACCATAATTGTGGGATCGATTGTGTTTGAATGTCAAGGACAACCTGTAGACTTCCAGTTTCTTCTGGAACTTTGGAAATGGATAGTAGGAGAGACAGGCATCCTTTCAGCCTGATGTTAGGACAGTTGGATGAGATCTATAGGTCACCTGTTAGAAAGCCTGCTCATAAGCTTCCTGTTCAGTGCATGGATGTAATGCTTTTTCCTTGAGATAAATTGTTTGGAAACAAAACATTCATATTTGAATATATTTATGGTGCTAGAATGCTATAATCTTTGGGAAGAAATGTTTATGAATATTTTTCATTCTGTCAACACTACATCTGATAGTAAGGGCAGTGCAGATAGACATAGGGCAGGTTTATGGCTTATTGCAGATTCCTTGGGGCAGAAGTATAGTACAGAGTATCTAAATAGACTATTTGTCAAAGCAAGAATGTACAGTATTTGCACATGACACTATTATGAGTAATGGTATCCATCTGTCTTATCCTTTGACCTCTTAATATATATTCCTGATATTGAAATGGCTTGGCATTTGTAGGAAGATAGAGCTAGAAACCATTTAGCTGCCGCCTCTTGTCTACTTCTTTAACAATTCAGCTTTATTGCTGCAATGTTTGATTTGGTCTAAATATAGTTATATTCAGCAACTAATAACTACTCTTGCTTATTTCTCTGCTGGCAGGGCCAAGCCTAATGACAGAACATGCCATACAAAAAGTCCATAGTTACAGGGAAGGAGCTTCTGAGACAGATTCTGATCATTCAACAGGCTGCTCCACTGGGATAGTGCCTGGATGGGAAGGGGGTACAGATCAAACTATGGCACATTTCTCATTCTATAGCCTTTTCTTTAAGCCAGTATAATTCACAACACATGACTTTGTATTTTTAGCCTGGAGAGGATATGATACTCGTAGGAAGTTCAAGGATATAAAGAACAAAAGAAATGATGCTGCTATTCATATTCAAGCAGGTAATTAAAGCAATATTTTCACAGCTGACGCCTATTTTACTGTGGGTGATTTCCCATGTCAGGGCTTGTGTCTGATAGGAATAATGTGCAGCCCAGACAAAAGGCTCTTAAGTTATGATCTGTTCAGATGACTGCTTTCACTCTAGTTGACAAGCAGTGGATTCAGACAGCCAAGGAAAGTGCTTAGTCTGACCACCATCTCCAGAGCCAGTTTATAATATAAAATCTATGTTTAATTGCACTGATGACCCAAAATGTTGTCCAGTACCAACATACTATAATGAATTCTGTTGTCGAATTGGAGGAATATAATAAATATTTAGAATACAGACAGTCCTCAACTTATAACCATTTGTTTAGTGACATTTGAAGTTACAGCAGCACTGAAAAAGGTGACTCACAACCAGTCCTTGCACTTATAACCATTGCCGTATCCCCACAGTCGCAAGACCAACATTTGGATGTTTCACAATTGACATTGTTTTAGGATGGTTACAGCATCCTGGGGTCATGTGATTGGCATTAGTGGTCTTCCTAGATAGCTTTCAACATGCAAAGTCAATGCGAGAAGCCGGATTCACTTTAATGTCTGCATTGATTCACTTAATGGCAAAACTCACATAACAACTGCCTTGTTTAGCAATAGAAATTTTGGTCCCAATTGCGGCATTAGTCCCAGACTACCTGTACTCTGTGCTGCATAGGATTCTCATTCTCTTATATGTTTTCTGCCATTAAAAAGAATAAAAACTGTAATGTAAAACTTAATGTAGATTTAATATAAATTTTAAAAGAAGCAAAACGGAGCTGTGGTGCAATCTGGAATCCTTTGCATTATTGCCTTGTCCGTGTGAATCTAACTAGGGCCAAAAGATCTGGGCAATAGAATTCTAGGCAATCATTAGAGAGTTTTCTGGATAGCTTCGCTGCTATTTAGTGATCATTCAGAGTTTTGCAGCCCAAACTGGATAGCTTTTCCCTCACAGTTCCAAAAGAAAATGTTGAAATTCAGTCTCCAGCCACCCAAAGCTTGGCGCCCATATTCTAGTGCTTCACCTCCATTCCATGCAGGCTATTCTGGAGCAAGAGTAATTTTTTTATGAATATTAATATCAACATAATTAAATCAGGAGAAGCCCACTGCTTTGTGACAGAATATGTGCTTTGCTTATAGAAAACAAGTCCAGGCACCTTTTAATAAAAGAATAGGAGTGTTCATTTTTTAGGCTAAGCCATAACTTAATAGCAGAGCTGATGTTTTGCCTGCAGAAGATTTGTGGTTCAACCCCCAGAATGCCCAGTTAAAAGTATGTAGTAATATGGGCTTTGTAAGTGTTTTAACTGAGATTCTGGAGGTTTCTTGCCCATGAAAATGCAAATGATCTGAGCTAATATAGCCTGAGCTAATAAAAAGCAATTTCCTAATTTGAACTATTGGTATGAGAAAGAGAGCCAGCAACTTTGAACAGAGAAATGTTGCTTTGAACCTGGTGATAAAAAATGTCTGGAAGGATTAAACTAAGCATTAGCCAAATCGTAGGAGGTGATATGGGGGAAATCAACTTGGGAAATGGATGGAGAACCAAAATATGCTGAAGGAGGCAAAGTGCTTAATCCTTCTCCTCACAGTTGCCTTTGTACTCCAAAATGTCTGCCCAGCTGCTCTTATTTGCATAAGGAGGTTCAGTCTTTTTTCCCTTTGCAAGCAGTTGTTTGATACAGCAGGTGGAGGGAGTGAGATTAGGAAGAAATAAGAGTTAGGAAAGGGTTAAGCACTTTGGACTTTATTATTTTTTTTCATCCTAAGGGCTTTGCAGCCCTGCAGCCTTAAGCTGCTTGACTCCTGTGGATAAACTGGCTAGAAACAAAGCCAGCTTCAGAATTTCTGAATTCAATTCCTTCCTCTACTTTGGCTTCAGCGGTGGCCAGATGTTTAGATTGCATGTAATACAGCTACCAACTGGTAGATTCCTCTGCTTCTTTACTCCTCCTATCCATGCCAGAAAAGCAAACACCAATCACTTTCTTTTTGTGGGTACGTCTTTGATGACATGTCCTTTCCATTGATAGACCTTTTGTATGAACACTTTCTGATGACTCTAGAACCATTCTTCCTGTTGCTTTGGCTCCGAAGGAAAACTAAAAAAAAAACCTGTCAGTTTCACTTTGTTACTTTTAATGTGTATTGGAAAAAGGTGGGGGAGCTTTTCTTCTTGATGGCTGGGATCCTTTGAGGACATCCTGTGTTCTTATCTATAAAACATGGTCAGAGACCCAAACTTGCACTGGGACAAGTGGTCATATGGTTCAGCACTAAATTACTCACTCTAGAATGTTTTCTCTTTAAAAATAGATACAAGTTTTTTTCAATCCTGTTCGTGTCGTATTTTGTCAAATCCTATTTCTAGAATATTTAAGTATTCCATTGTGCCTTTGTCCCTGAAGAGAAACCACAGTGGTATACAATATATGCAAAGAAAAGTGACTACTGTTTTTAGAAGTCACTGGAAATTGCTGTAAGAAGTGAAGAGTGAACAGAAATTCTAAAGCAGCACTTCCAGGATTTGTAATAGAAGGCCTACGCTCTCCACCAGGCCCAGCCTGAAAAGACTTACATGTGGTGATTAAGAAAGGCTGCTCTCAGAGAAAACCTTTTTTTTTTCATTTGAGTTAAATAAGGAAACTCAAATTACCTAAGGAACTCAAGTCAAATCATTGGTTATTCTAGTATACCATTGTTAGCGGCTTTGCAGTGTTTCAGGAAGAATTTTTCTAGTCTTACTGGAGATGCCAAGGATTGAACCCAAACTGGTCTTCAAGAAAAGGATGTCTTCTACCACTGAACTGACTCCCCCCCCCCCACATGTATGCAATTTCTTTTTTCTTATCTGGATCCCTATGCTAAGAATGACTCCAGACTGAATTAAGCTCATCACAGTAGAGGCTTGTTCACTGAATAAGCCCTTAGATGAGGGCTAGAAACCTAAAAAAATTTCCAGTAGGAGCAACAGATGGTCCAATCATACCCAAAGTTGAGAGTGCACTGTCACATTGATTCATGCAGGTTTTAAAATGATGTTTTAATAAGGATTTTAGAGATTTGCACAAAATGATTTATGTATCAGAGGTATGTGTGATTTTATGTGTACACTCCTAGCAGTGCAATACAGTGCATTCCTTTTTTTGTTTTGTTTTAATATCAGAGAAACTTTCAATGTAGTTTTCCCTTTCCATCTTCTGTTTGTTTGGAAGAGCAGGCAAAAGATACTACAAGAGGAAGACACAGGTATTTTGAAGTTAGATGTCATAGCATCTGGGCATGTGTCTCCAAATGTGTCTTGATTGCATCTTGTTTTAACAGAGTGTCTCCTCCCATCAGTGCTTGATAAAGGAAACAGTAATTGATCCAATCTCAGCAAAAAGTCACATGAATTCTGAGAGCATGGCAGAGCCATAGTATAAGGCAGGGGTGTCAAACTGCCGGCCCACGGACCAGATGCATCATGCAGAAGCCGCGCCCACCCCATTGCCGGCAATGGCAAAACCGTCCCGATATGTTGCGTGACATCACGTGACATCGCGAGTTTGACATGTCTAGTATAAGGTATATACTGTATAAAATGTCTGGGGTAGTATCCCTTACAATATAAATAAATGGAATATGTGGGCTGCTAATATATGTATACTTGCATCAGGACATAAGAATTCTAAAGGCAAAGTTCGTTAAAAAGTATTTTTGGAGATTACTTTCTTATACAACTAATGAGATGCATTTGAAATTACTTCTTAATGTAAAATTGGCACACCTGTACTCCAGTTTAGGACATTGATTTCTGTACAGGGAGATTAAACAAGAGGCCATAACATATAGACAGCATAAAGAAAGCATTAAATAGCTGCATATGAAATTCTATCAGTAATACTTTTATTCCAACCCATGTTATAAAGAGTTGTTTGTATTGCTTCTATGGGAGAATTCAAGTAGGGCATCAAATCCGTCTTCCTGAAAAAAGTTTGGTTGTACAGTGTCTATCCTATGCTTTTGAATCTCTCTATTAAAGTCTTTGTTCCTTCAAATGGTATTGGCCATTTTCAGGATTTTATTTCTCAAGCAATATGTATCGCAATTGTTATATTAACAATGTTTGATGCTATAGAAACCCTACCACTCATGAAAGACGCCTACAAAATATGATCAGCATTACAATAAAGCCTGAGGACGTTTGTTTCTCGGAAGAGTTTTGGTTTATTGCCAAAGCATTCAAAGAATCATTTAACGTAAAATAAGTTTCTTTAAAAAGAAGAAGTTTAAAAAGGGAGAAAGAAACCAGAGTGGGAGGAGAAAAGGTGGTCTTGAAATTTAGGAAGCCCTTGGCTTACATGTTTTTACACAGCTCACACTGAAATTTGTTTTCCTTTCATCTCTTTCCCAGTAAAAGCAGCAGTGAGGTTTATCCCTTTAGCTTCCTCAGAACTTCCTTTCAGAATTCCCAATCTATTACAGCACATTCACATACCAGAAACAAGATGCCTTTTCATGCTGTCAACCTTTTTCATCTGAAATGTAAATTAATTCTTGCCTTGACAGAGATCAAAGTAGGGGTATTAACCTTATTGGACCCTTTCTCCATCAGAATCTGTTCCAAAGACTGGGAGGCTGATGCTGTAGGTGTCTGAGAGGAGAATGCAGCCTTCAGTGTTATCTATGGCCCACTTCCAGGCAGTCCTCTTGTCTACAAGTCACCATTTCAAAAGCAGTGGTTTCTTTTGTAAATGACCTTATCATTACTTTATACTGTGTGAAGGGAAGGGGGGGGAGTGCTTTGCCTGAATAATTCTTCCAGGATTAGCCTGCTCATTTTAATTGTTGGGCGGAGGAGGCTACATTCAGATTTCAGAATATTCTTTGAATGGTTTTGACAGCAAGAGATCGCGGGCCAGATAGAAAGTCTTGTTCAGGTTGTTTATTTTCCAGCAAGGCAGTCTTTAGAGATAGGCTGCATTTGCATTTTGAAAATAAATAGATTCTCAAATACACAAGTGGCTAGGCGAGCAGTTGAACAGACACTGATAAAACGTGGAGGAAAAAAAGTAAATGTGTTCTAAGAAAAAAAGGCTTCAGTGTTAGCTGCCTTGGGGGCTCCACTGCAGAGTTGAAAGGTGGGATAGAAATATTTTAAAAAATGTAGAAACCCAGAATATGTGAGAAATAAGTTTATTGTTGGGTTGAGTTTGGAAAACTGATATTATAATTTGAAATTTAATTGGATTTTTTAAAGTTGTGAAATCAGATATGCCCCCAGGATAAATCATATGAACTCATCATTGCTTTAGCTTATGTACTGCTCAAATTTAGTGAAGTATTTTTTCCTCTTTTTTAAAGCTAAGTAGCGGAAAAAATTCCTATTTCTCTTAAAAGGAAAAAAAAGAAGTTAAAAATAGACCTATACTCTATTTATTCTCTCCAGGTACCATATCATTATCATGTCCCAAGGCCATTAGCCCCTCAATCTTTTTTTTTTTTAAGTGTGGCTCATAGTAGCAAAAATATTGTTCTCTTTAGTTCAAAATTCTAATCAGGAAGATAAAGTCATCCAAATGCTTAATTCTCTTTGTTTCTCATTCCTAGTTGTTGCAACACAATAATACTTTTACACTTTATATAGTACCAACCAACAAAGTGATAGCTAAGAACCAGAAGTCAATGATAATCATCCCCTCCCCCCCATTATCTACACTTCTACAGGATTCCCATCTTGGTGTCTTCCAGATGTGTTAAATTAGCTGACAATTGTTCTGTTGACTATGAGATCTGCAAACTACAAAGTTGCTTTACAATTTTTATAACTTTATGAGTTTCTATATCCATTTAAAGAATTTGAGAAATCTTTTAGGAGAGTTGAAAATACTCCAGCTCAGTTCATAAGGCAGCTTTTAAAATCTTTTATATTATTTTTAGGAATATTGATAGATTTTCCTAAAGCATTATATATTTGGCTTAGCTTTTTAAAACACATTAATGGTCTGTTGATTTTAGTTATGTTATTATTTCCAAAGATTTGATTCCTTCCCTTCATTTTTTTAAAAAAACTTCTCTTTGATCAAATAATCTTTGAGGCATCTTATAAAAACTACAACAATAAAAGGATAAAATAGGAAAAAAAGAAGCCAAGTGATAGTAGTATAATAAGAGATGCAATTCTGTTTTATTAAACAAATGAAATAAGTTTTACCTATTGCCTACAAATAACTAACATTTTTATCACACAAATTGGTTTGGGGATTATGTTCCATTGTTAGAATGCAGCATCAGAAAAACAGGGTTTCTATTGACTATTTGATATATGCTGGAGGGTGCCAAGAAGGCAGTTCTTGTCATTCTCTAGTCACAATCTCAAAAACAGGATTTTAAATAGTCATCCAGAAATAATCTGTCAAGAACTCTTACTGTCTGAAGAAAATATGCATTAGAAGGAAATAAAGGCTGCCCCACTCAGAAATTGATCCTTAGTGCCTCCTGGAGTTGCCATTGTCATTGTTTCCCATAAAGATGTGGGCCTGACCTCTGCAAATAAGAGTGCCCATGGTAGGAGATCAGAAAAATCAAGATAGTGACCACAATCATGAATTTGAAGCCCATCCCTTTTTTATGTGCAGTGCAATATCATTTTCACAAGACTTTGCCAACCCAGGGACTCTCAATCCTGTTTGTAATGCATAATTCTCTATTTATTTATTAAAGTTCATGCTGTTTTATTTACCTTTCTCTATTAACTCCCTTCCCAATGTTGCATCATATAGATACTGAATAAGCATTCCCTCTACTTCTTCTGGCAAGTTATTAATTAAAATGAAAAATAAAGGACTCTGGACTAAATTTCGTTGCATACCACTAATGAGCAATAGGTACCGGTATATAATTTTTGAAATAGTTATGTATCCACTTAATTGTCATGTCATCCGGCCCCATACTTAATTAGAAATTAGAAAGTCATGAGGTACTTTGTCAAATCAAAATATAATATATATTCCATCGTCTATTAAGGAAGTTAACTTGTCTTTTTAAAAAGGAGTAAGATTAGTCTCTATCAAGTCAGATGAATCCATGCTGTTTTTTGGTAATTTTTACTCCATTGTTTTCAAAGTACTTAAAGACATTTTATTATTGTCTCTGAAATATCAACATAAAACTGGCTAGCCTATTTTATATCTCTTTGTTGAAAGGAATAAAGGAAAGCATTTTAGTTGTCCAGTCGTCTTTTACCTACGGTATTTGTTCTTTCCAAAAATGATGTGTCTATATTACCTGGCCTATAGCTCAGTGGAACATTGTTTACTGCAAGGCAGAATGGGAAGATCAATGGCCCATTTTTTTTCTATCAAATTTGAGCCACATTTTGTACAGCTGCTTTCAAAGACACAAGAACGTTGGAATAAACGCTGTATCAATGTTTAGGAACTGTGTTACTGTGGGGTCCTTGGTGCTATCTGAGCTTGGTTGTTTTCTTGCAGACCTTTCATCACACTGTTGATTTTACCTAGTTTGGTAATTAAATGTCTGCAAGAAAACAACCAAGTCCAGAGAGCACCAAGAACCCCACAGTTCAACCCTGAGCTACACATATTCTTTTCTATGGGATCTGTGCTACAGTTTCCTTTTTTATGAGAAAGCTGTTCCTCAGCTAGAATTCAGTTTTGTGTCTGCTAATGCTTGTATGAGACTCTATTGATTAACATTTTGACTAAAGCTAGTTTTCTGGAAGAATCCTCAACCAAGTTAATTCTCACTGAGGGGTTTTTAATTACTTTTTAATTAGACAATTTAAATATTTCATTTTAATTAATTTTAACTTGTGATTGTTAGTGGTGTTTTTAATTGATTGTCAGCCGCCCTGAGTCCGCAAGGAGAAGGGCGGGATATAAATTCAAATAATAAATAAATAAATAAATAAATAAATAAATTGGTTTCTTCTTGAAAGACGGGCCTAGTCTCAAATCTGAGTCATTGGAGCTCAATTCTTGACATATTGGGGCATGAAATTGTTTTATTTTATTATTTTATTTTATTTTATTTCTTATTTTATGGTCCCTCTAAGTTACTTTTGACTCCTAGTGAGTGACTGGACAGGCCCCTGAAGTTTTCTTGACAAGGTGTTTTTGGAAGTTATTTGTTCTTGCCTTTTTCCTAAGGCTTGAGAATAAGTGAGCGGCCCAAGGTCACCCAGCTTGCTTCGTGTCTGAGGCTGGAACTCACCGTCTCCTGGTTTCTAGCTTGATGCCTTAACCCAGTGGTTCTCAACCTGTGGGTCGGGACCCCATTTGGGGTCGATCGACCATTTCACAGGGGTCGCCAAGCAAGGCTGTCCGCCATTTTTTTGTCCGCCATTTTTTTGTCCGCCATTTTTTCCCCTTTACCGGCGGGTGCCTTACCTCCCTTGGGCTGGGCCAGCTGGTGGTCGGCCTGCTCCGTCTCTGCCGCTTGCCAGCTATGCCTCTCCCGGCGCAGGGGGCGGAACCACGCATGCGCAGCTTACGACCGGCTGGGTAGTCCTCGACTTACGACCGGTTTAGTCCTCGACTTACGACCGGTTTAGTCCTCAACTTACGACCGGTTTAGTCCTCGACTTACGACTGGTTGGGGTCGTGGCATTAAAAAGGTTGAGAACCACTGCCTTAACCACTACACCAAACTGGCTCTCCAATCAATATTAGCGAAATATTTTGAAAACACATTACATAGGAATTACTTCGCATCTATATGAACACTAATAAAGATAAAAACCTTCCTGCAAAGAATCTTTGATGCCCAGGCATGTGAGGGTGAAGGTTCGTTCTCTGAACATTTCATTACCAGGTTGATTTCCGAATTTTTCATTACCAGGCTAGGTAACATCTTCAGTGGTGTTTAGGGGATGTCAGTGTCAAGTGATACACCCACACCTGAAGCTCTTATAAACAGAAGCTCTTATAAACACTGGCATCCCCTAAACTTGTAGGGGACCTAATGGTCTCAGGATGCTTTGGAGTGGAATTGTCATTTATTTCCACAATTCCTTCAGCTCTATGAACAAGGGATTGTAGATGCTAAAGCTAAAAACTCCTGGTGAGCAGAAAGTTGGTTACTCCTATGTTTCTACAAATCCTGAAATATGAGTGATTGGAATTAGAGGTCATATCAGTGACTATTCTTAGCTCCAACATCACCTACTAAAGTGAAGCAGTGAAACACTTCATTACTTCTTAGGCTGGCTGTTTTAATAACTATTTTAAATATATATTTAATATCGTTGATGATATTATATTTTTCTGCTGATACTTTGTGCTTTATAATATAGAGAGATAAGCCCTTAATTACTCAGTATTTAAATTCATGAATTTTCTAGAATTCTTTGAAGAAAAGGAAAGATGACAGTGTATTAAAATAGATAAAATAAAAATATTTGCCAAGCAGATGCTTAGGGTGAGTATCTTGTTAATGCTCAAAATAAATGGTGATTCAGTTTTCTCCACAAAAATAGCTTGCTGACAAAATCTATCTGTAGCTATTCTCAGATCAGACCTTTGGCAATGCCATTCTTTGTAATAGTCAGTAAACTTTGTAGCCAGAGGCTGCAGAACTGAAACAAATCTGAATTTCTTTCTTTCTAGAGGTTGAACAAAGAGTATTCTGTATGTTGAAAAATATCAGATAATGCTGCTTCATTTTTAATCTTAGTTTTTACTAATGCTTGTTTAGCTTTCAGAGGATATTTAACACGCAAAAATTATAGAAGATGGAAGAACAGCATTGACTATGAAACAGATGTGGAATCAGTGGGTTTTGTTTCCAATCTCAAATATGAAGAAAATGGGTAAGTTTTAATTATTCTGTTCAAAAAAAGAAAATACATAGAGGGAGATACTTTTTTCACTAAATCCTAGTTACGTTGCTGGCAAGACAACTCAGAGTAGGTCTTGAGCAACTATTCATCATTAGGAGCTGCAATTAAATATTGTTTTTGAAAGATGTGTCTGTTCATGCAAGTTTGTGAATATGATTTGTAGCATTCACATGTTAAGGGCTTAGTTTTATAGTTTTGATAATTAATCAATCTATATGTAATCTTTATTATAATCACTGTCCAGTCAAAACTAAGTATATATTATAATAAAGCAAACAAAACAATAATAAAAGCCATGCTAGCAGGATTCCATTAAAGCTCAGGATTTAAATCACTAAAGATCACTAACCTGATTCCTGAAATGCCATTTGGTGGATTCAACAAACCATAGCACAAAATTTACCAGCTTTAAGAGTAACAGCTATATGTGTTCTATCAATTAAAAATGATATAAATATATCCAATCTTCCTGGTCTATTAGTTAAAAATGGAATATGAGAAGCAGAAAGACCTTCATTGAAAATAGCCATATGTAGAATATGACCCACAGTCTCCACCTCACTGGAGCCAAAAAGTAGTTCTGGTCTCCCATAGGAATGTTATGAAGGTTATCCTTCAAGACTGCCAGAGGCAAAACATTAAGGCAATGTGCTCTAGCTTCTCATTAGATGGTATAATCCTTTCTCCTTGAGAAAAGTTATGTGTAAGTAGCTTGTTATCAGCCTTTTATTCCATGAAAATTGGAGAATGTAAAAATTCTTCTCTAGCACTCTAGCAAATGTTTCCTCCAAAGCCAGAGCTTGAAATCTTCCCTTAATTTACAGTTACATGTCTTAAAAGATGGAAAAAAAACACTTTTACCAAATGGTATCTTCAGGCAAGCTGTTTCCAAGCTGCTTCTCATGTGAATCAGTCCAATCTCACCATTCTCTGGGCCAGACTGTATATTCTAATGATACTCTATAGCGCACAGTTGGGCCAAGACACATGACAAGCAGGATATAAATTATGACCTCTGCCTAGAGCTGCTACTGTACCATGGAAATTAATCTTTCCATTAGAGAATGCAGCTTTTAAATGTTCCCCCCAAAACTTGGTTTTTATTCTCTCTTTTCTCATTTTCAATACACCGAATGTCTGCCCTAGATCATATATTTTTTCTGGCTGCTTTTTTAAACCATATAGAACGGTAGCAAATTTCATATTATGCATTTGCCTCTAACCCTGGACAGAATGCAGTGAGGTGTTTCCATAAGTAGAAGCAATTTCTGCTCAATGAACAGGAGGCAGTTAATTCTCCCTGCCCCCCTTTTCCCAGGGTACCTTCAAAATTTATTCCAGAGAGTGGATCTTGAGCATGTGCAATGAGGAACAGTAATGTTCCAATGCCTGAAAAAGAAATGGCACAAATCTCTTGTCAGATAAATATCACAATAGTAGGTTCTCCCATTTTCCTCAACTCCCCCCCTTTTTTCTGACCAATATAAAACCCATCTACAGAAACACTTTTTCCTGTAAAAAGTTTTGAAACATTTGTATTTGCCCATAGCCATCCCATACATGGCAATATTAAATATGAGTCTAAATTGATTTAGGTTTATTTACTGGCAAGAGGGAAGTAGGACTATAGCCTTTCTAAGCGTAATTAAATAATATGAGCAGAAGCAGAAAATACAGATTATATTTGCAACTTTTTGTCAGCATCTGAAAGACAACAAACATTGCTTCACCTCCATCTTCTCCCACTTTTGCCCAGCGAGGTACACTATATTAACAAAATATTATCAGTGCTTTTTTTGTAAAAAAAAAAAAAAAAAAAAGGTGCCGGAACTCACACACACCATACAACCCGTCTTGCCTACCCTACAAGGTTCCATCCAAAAAAGATACCGGAACTCCGTTCTGGGCGTCCTATGAGAAAAAAAAGCCCCGATTATATTGTGTGGCATGCCTCTGACATTTACCAAAGAGAGCTAGGCTTATGCACAAATCTCTCTCCTAGCCATCTTTCAGGCAAATAATAAACGTCTGAGCTTCTAGGTGCAAAGGGAATCATCTGCCCTAAATTGTAGTAGGACATAATTAGCAAATTCAGTTTAACAGTGTCACATTACCTTTGCCCTTGAGTGTCTGCAAAAAGATTGCAGTTTCAGTCACAGGAGGAAATTTGATTAAATTGAGCATCAAAGGGACATGTGCAGATGAAGCCCCCCCTGGGTGGAAAACTAAACCGTCTGAAAGGAACAGCATGAAGCTGTCAGTTCACTGGGACTCAGAATGTTTTGAAACAGGAAATTTGTAAGAGTTAGTGATACGGATTGGCAGCTATTTGAGCTTTATTTTAGGACCTTGGTGTGGTCCCTGAAAACCTCCAAAAGTTGTAGCCAAATTGTAATTTTCCTGAGCCAAAATGGGATAATTTATTAAAAACATGCCTGGAAAATAATCCAGTAACTTTATTGAAAATAATAGTAAATCCAGTCAAAACTCCTGGCATTATTCATTCATTTTTGGAGAACTGACTGTCAGACTTCCTCTTTGCAGTCTAAATTGATTTAAGCCAAGGAACAAAATGGGAAGGATCCTGGTGAATAGCAGGATTAGAAGAAAGGTAGGGTTGCCACACAAGAATTCTAGCAAATACTGTACTTTCAGATGAGAAATGTATAGGTAGTTGCCAGAACTCTCTTCCATTTCCTTGTATGTGTGTGTGTTGTTGTATTTCTGTGCAGTGGTAAGGAGGTTCTTGCATTTTGCATGAAGGCAAGGCAATTTGTATTTATCCATTGTTTTGGTATCTGCTATTCCTTTTATTAGTATGAGAAATATCTCATACAGATGTTACCATGATATTGGTGCTTTATTCTCCATTAATTTGCTTAATCCCTTTAACACTTGTCCAGGTTGTTCTTCTATGTGTAAGCAACTTCATCCAATACCTATTTATTGAGGATCTCTAATCTTTTTATAATCATGAATATGCTCATCATGAAATTGTCTCTGGGATATATGCGAGGCCTAGGGCTTTGCTTGGCAGTACGTTAGTCTCCCGTTTATTATTTTAAAAATAAAAATAAGTGAGAAGCAGACATATTTTGGCAATCATATTATTATTACTGAGCACCTTGGAGACCCGAGAACTATGAACAAGTCATTCCTTTTATATCTCCCACAACTGAACTTCATGACTTAACTTCAGATTCAAGTTTAATTAAAGAGAAAATAATTTTTCTGTTTACTCTGTCTGTACCAGGCATAATTTTGCACCCTTCTATATTTCTCCTCTCCCCCCTTGCCAATTTTTCTAACTCGTAAACCCTAATATTGTCAATATTTAGCAATAGCAATAGGTCTTAGACCTATATACTACTTCATAGTGCTTCACAATACTCTCTGAGCAGTTTACAGAGTCAGCATATTGCCCCCAACAATCCTCATTTTACCGACCTTGGAAGGATGGAAAGCTGAGTCAACTTTGAGTCCCGTCAAGATCGAACTCTCGGCTGTGTGCAGAGTTTGCCTGCAATACTACATTCTAACCACTGTGCACAAGGGGCTCTTTTTGTTAATGATTACATCTTTAGATTACACCTTCAGATTACCTATTCAGAAATTTTCTGAATGGTGTAGAAGAAAAGTTAAAATAGTGAAATCATGAATTATTATTGGTGCACTAGAACTAAAACAAGAAGCAAGAAAGACCACAGCACAACACATATACTTCACGTAAAACCAGCAGCAAAATTAAATAGTGTAAAGTTTCTGAAAGAACTAAAATGCCAGGAAATAAAAAGTTCTTTCCCAGGCACTGAAAAAAGTATAAAAGAGGGATCTGGCATCCTTCTTTGGGTATGATATTCTCCAAGAGGAGGCACCACCAATGAAAGAATTACAGCTTTTTTAGTCACCTACTACCTTGTTATGTGAGGGAAGATCAATAAATAAAGCTTCATTTTCCATTTTATTATTATATTAGTAGTACTGCTTGTTGTGGCTTTTCAATTTGTGTTATATTTGTTAACAATATGGTCAGGGTACGTATACAGTCTGCTAAAATTTACATCTCTTACAACTAATCAGACAACACTTTGGGGTTTCTATCCCAAATCATGCACAGTAAATCAGTTATTAAGGTAATTATTTAAATTTATTTCTTAAAAATAATATATAGCATGTTCTTATAATATGCTTTAAAAATGTTTATACAATTATAATTTTTCTAGTGGTAATAGTTGTTGATACTGCCTTTAGGCAGTATCGTTTGAGAGTTCCCATTAATTGAAATAAATGATTAAATAAAGGCCCCTTTAGTGGCCTGTAAGTCGGGATCAGTATAAAGTTTATATCATTTCTTCTTTCATTTTCGTTAAACTAACATGATTTCAACTGAAACAGAGGGCATAATCTCTCCCAATGTTTTTAATATTTTTCTGCCACAATTTGGTGACAAGCTTGAAAGATGCTACCTGGAGATCATATTAGTCCTTGAACTTTATATTTTGTGCCTCTGTTGTAAACTTCCTGTTTCCTTCTGTAGCAGTTCTTGAATCTCACTCCCTTTAATCATACTCTTGAATAGCTGCTTGGTTTTCTGCAGCTGATAATATACATGTAGTTTGTAGTCACAAGAGGAGACTTTTGCTATGGTTCATTTTTTGCCCATGTTGTGTTTCAAAAGCAAAGCAGATGATTTACATTCACTGATGGCACCATTTATCATTTCAATTTATTCTATGGTATCTCTAAACAAAGTGTTACAATACAGCTCACTGTACCTGTCAAGCTCTAGTAGAAGCCTCAATGAACATGATACATTCATAATATGCAGAATCTTTTCCCATATCAGATCAAAGGAAATAATGGAGCTTGGATGTTTCTCCCCCTCCCTCTTACACCTCCCCTCCTACTGTTGAAAAGATTGATGGATTGCTCTTTTTAAAGAAAGAAAATCAGATCCTGTAGATTTCATA